GTATGTCATCTTTCCTGGTAGCATGTAAGTTCCTTGAAGGCAAGGACTGTTTCATTTTTGTCTTTGAATCACCAGCACTTAACACGATGCCTGGCAAATACTTATTTCCTAGCATATGTACTTTATTAATGTTTTCTGATGAATTTATATTCTTACTTCGCAGGACCTTTTATGTTTCTCTCCATTCCCAATGCTATTGCTCTAGGTCAGGTCTCTTACCTACTGTTTGAACTACTGCAGAAACTACTAACAGATCTTTTTTGAAAATTAAAAAAATAATCCTTCATGGATATGAACTTAATAATGATCAGCAAACATGAACATTTCAGTATATGAAAAAGATTGTATATGTCACCATGAACTTCTATTATGTAGTTTATTTTTAAATGGATATGAAATTTAACATTTTTTGATGGTCCTTCCCTGAAGACCCAGTTTGAAGAGCTAGAATTTCTTCTGAAAGAATCATAGGATCATTACTTGTAAACTGGAAAGAACCTTAGGGATGACTTAATCCTAATCATCTATTTTTATAGATACAGAATTTTATAGATGTAGAAATTGTTAGAAATTGAGATTAATTTAAAAAATTAACTTGTCTTCAAACACTATATGTTGGTTCCAGGAAAATTTATTTAAATATCTTAAGCTCTGAGTCAGGTATTTCTCTGTACTTAAAAATGTTCAATTTTCCTTTTAGCAGGTAGGCATAACTGTTTGCAAATTAACACATTTATATATATGTATCAATTGATCAATTCATAAGCACTATGTGCTTACTATACTCAAGTATAAACTTCTCTGTTTGATATTTAAATCTCTTAATAATCTTAACCCCTCCTTACACATTACTCCTGTTCACACACTGTGAGATCTAGTTCCACCTGGCCTAAATGCTATTCCTTCATCACAATACTCTATCTCTAGCCTCCATGACTCCATGCCTCCATGCAGTGGGTGTCTCCTATAAAAAGCTTAGAATTCTCTTGCTTCTGCCTCTTAGCTTCCCTCACTTACTTCAAGACTCAGCTTGAATCCCCCATTCTGCAAGAAGCCTTTCCTGGTTCCCCGAGCTTCTAAGTCTGTCAAGATTACTTTACTTCTACTCCATATTTTATCTATCTAGTTATTGAGATGACTCTTTACAATTAGAATGTAAACTCTTTGAGGGCAAGATTCTTTTAACCTTTTTATTTGTATCTTCAGTGCTTAATTCATTGTCTGGCACATAGCAAGGGCTTAATATGTACTGCTTAGCTAACTATGTACCGGGTATTATGCACAATAGGGATACAAAGACAAAACAATGAAACACACCTTCTCTCAAGGAGTTTGCATTCTGTCAAGAGATACAAGATGTGCATATGTCATTATATATATAGAAAAAAGTATCTACAAGTAATTGAAGTATCAATGCAAGGTAGTTAAATCGTTAGGGATCAGGACAGGCTTGATTTAGAATTCCTTCTAAATTCCTTCAAGTTCTTTAGCTGCTTCTTAAAGGAAGTAAAGGGATTCTGTGAAGCTGAGGTGAGGAGGAAGTTTATTATTCCTTTGAAGGGGAATGGCCAGTGAAAAGACATGAAGACAGAGATGACTTCCTTTGTAAGGAACAGAGAAGGTTAACCTGTGTGAAAGGGGAATAATATGTAATGTGGTTAGGGAGATACCTTGGGGACAGGTTCTGAATGGCTTTAAAAATCAAAAGAAAGGGTTTATATTTTATTCTAGAGGCAATACAGAGCCATTGAAGCTTATAGAAGAATGACATGGTCAATTCTGCACTTAAGGAAAATAACTTTGATAAACTATGCAGAAGATATGTTGGAATAGAGAGAGTCTGGAAGCAGGAAGGACAGTCAGGAGGACACTGAAATAGTCTAGGTGATAGGTAATGAGAAAGCCTGAAGTAAAGTGGTAGTTGTATAGAACAGAGAGAAAGGACAAGTTTTGAAAAATGGTATGGAGTTAGAAATAGAAAGAGTTTGCAAATGATTGGATATGGATGAATTATTGAGTGAATGATTACACATTTACTTAGCACTTACCATGTACCAAACTCTATAAAATATAAATACAAAACCAAAGATAGGTTTTTGGGAATAGGAAGAATAAGAAGTTAATGATAACACCAAAGTTATGAACCTGAGAGACTAGAAGAATATTGGCGCCTTCGACAAAAGTAGAGAAATTTTGGGGAATAAGGAAGATAGAGTTTGTTGGATGTTGAGTTTGAGATGTGTACTAAACATCGAGTTTGAAATGCCCGATAAGCAGTTCATAGTATGAGACTAAAGCTCAAGAGTAGGGCTGAGGCTGGATTATGAATCTGTTAGCAATCTGAATAACAATTATAATTCAATTCATGGGAGTTAATGACTCCATCAAGGGAGGGTATAAAGAGAGAAGAAAAGGTTTTCAGTAAAGTTTTGGTTTATTCCCAGTATGAGGCATGATATGAATGGTGTATCAGTGAAAAGACTGAGAAAGAGTGGTCAGGCAGGGAGGAGTCAAGACAAGCATTTATTAAGTACTTGTTATGTACAAAGTACCATGCTAAATGCTTGGGATCCAAAGAAAGTCAAAATAGTCACAGCCCTCAGTGAGCTTACAGTTAGATAGGGTAGGCAACATACAAACAACTATGTACAAACAAGATACATACAAGATAAATTGGAGATAATTACAGAAGGAAGGCACTAACATAATGAGGGACCAAGAAGAGCTTCATGCTGAAGGTGAGATTTTAGATGAGACTGAAGGAAGTCAGGAAAGCCAAGAGTAAGAGAAGAAGAGAGAGGTAATTCCATGCATGGAGGATGGTCAGTGGAAATACATGGAATCTGGAGATGGAATTTCATTTTCAAGGAGCCAGAAGAGAAAGAATAATGAAAAATCAGAGACAGGAGAAAATATCTAAGAGAAGATGAATGATCCAAAGTGACTAATTCAACAGTGAAGGAAAGAAGGATGGTTGGCAAAAAAGTACACTAGATTGGCAAATGAGAGATCATTAGTAACTTTGGAGACAGTTAAATTATGAAGTCAGAAGCCAGGTGCAAAGTGTTGAGCAATAAATGAGAGGCATGCAAGTGGAAGCAAGATAGCTTTTTCTACTTTGACTGATAAAGAGAGGTGATATCTAGAAAGGTAGCTTAAGAGGATAGTCCCATGAAGATTTTTGAAAGATAAGGATGACTTAGACATGTTTTAAGGCAGTAAGGAAGGAACCAATATCTTAACATATAAAAAAATTTCAATTCTTAAAAATTTTTCTACTTTGAGAGTTGTATAATTCTTGACTTGTGTTTGCCATCTTGTGAATAGCAACATTTCCATTTAAAACAACTGAGCATTTCATAGACATTTTTGTGTATATTAATATTTTAGAAATATTGACTTTAGAAAAAACTTGGTGGATCTTTTCTGGAATCTTTTACAATATTTTTGGCAAATAGTAACAGAAAGCACAAATAGTTTCAAACTTGGGTAAATATTTATTTAGTATAGAATATTGTACTTTACTTAGCATGTCACTTGGCCTTCTGCTTTAAATGACACATTATGCAATTTCATATGTATTAGGGATCAAATATTTTAGATCTTGTGCCTACAGAAAAATTACCAGTGTTCTTGGAGTTTGACAGCATACTTTTTAAATCATCAGAAATAAAACCTAACATCCCAATCTTCTCAGTTCTCATAGCAACTGCCTTTAACATGCTTCTTTATGTAAATGAATGTTTCTGATCATTCATTGATTTCATGTGAGACGGCAGCAATGTAAGTAAACTGCTCATACAAGTGATATGTTAATAATGCTCTTCCTCCAGAACTGCCTTCCTTACTCACAAATATAAGCAGTTTAGTCTCATCTTGTCTCCAGAGGAAACTTGTTCTTATTTATGCCATGTGTTTTTACCCCTAGAACAGGCACTAGACAAGATGTATAATAAATATAACAAACTCCTAATTATTTATATGAGTGGATAGGGAACCATGGTACAAATATCTGAAAGAGGTAATAACTACATATATTTGAGTTTGTAATGTGCCGTATTATTATTGGCAGTGGGACAAGGAAAGAGGAAGCAGATTTATCATGGCATTTCATTTCATTGTAAAGTACTTAGTTTATATTTTCTAAATGTCTATTTACTGGGGCAGGAGAGTAGAAGAGACTGTGCAGTATAGTGGAGACAAACTAGGGTTAAGTGACTTGCCCAGGGTCACATAGCTGGTGTCTGAGGCAGGATTTGAACTCAGAAAGATGAGTCTTCCTTACTCTGGGTCTGGTACTCTATCCACAGCGCTATCTAGCTGCCACTAAAGAAGTCTTGAGACTTATTCTTATGGGAGATCTTCTTTTAATAAGGCAATTATAGAATTGATTAGCATATAGTTTGGTACATTTCTCTCATTAATGAAGGTACTGAGGACATTAACAAATTTAATATCGAACCATTTTATACATGTGAACTTTTGAAACTTGGACATTTCCATTTCTGGGTCTTTTATTCCCTTGCTTTGTTTTTGAAAAATCTTTTAATCTTTTACATTTTTTTCTTTATTTAAACTTTGTATCTAATATTTTTCTAATAAATGGAGTAGTAAAATGCTGTTGATGGGTTAGCTTTTCAACGTCAAGCAAAGCAGTCTACTATAAACTTTTTTAAATGCAATTTAGTTTTTTCATCTATTTTATAGATTTTGAAATGCTTTTTAAAATTTATACGTTTTAACTCACTGGATTTTGAAAGGCAGTATAAATTATTTCATAATAATAATATATTTCTCTTAAAATGTATACTAAAAAGGGTGCTTGAAAAATTATGTGAAAATTTATAAGAGGTTTTTTATGTCCCTACATTATGAAATATCAAATTGTTTTGTCCCAAGAATACTATTTGTATATATTAAGTTCCCTGAAATGCTCTTAGGTATCTTCTTATACCTGTTAATGTTTCTTACAAGTTCTGATTTCTCTTGGTTTATGCCAGAAGTTACATGGGAAGACCAGCAGAAAAAGGTGAATGGTACAATAGCTGATGACAAACCATTGCCGAAAAAGAAACACCAAACTGAGCCAGGTTTGTCAGGGTTTGGAAAACCATATAAAAGCATGAGACTATAAAAACATTGCATTTCATGCTTTTGTAATGAGTGTGTGCTTTTTTTTATCTTATTTTTCTCACGGTGTGACAGTTTTTAGTATGTAGAGCCCATTTAGATTAGTTATGTGCACACTTTATTTCTATCCTTGATTAGAAAAAGTAGTTACATGTTGTGTGGGAAAAACTGTTGGTTTAATGTTAATGTTAGCACACTTAACCATATACTTGGGTACTACTTTATTACTCTGGTTCTCTGGTTTGTATATGTCAGACACTCTAGGGTATAACTTTTATAGTAAGGTAATTGCCAGCCTGAAACTGTAACTTAGAAATGTTAACTAAAAAGTTTATTTATTTCCATTTAGGCAAATATGGTATATTTCTGTTATGAAATATTTATTTCATAGTCAGAATTAGTTAGCACATACATAATGCATAATATTTTATATCATGATCAAAACATTTCCTCTTCTATTTATCCATAATGCAGGAGAAAGTTAGCACTGTTAATTAAACAAATGGTTAATAACCATCCCATTTAGTTCTACTAACAAGCACTAAAATATTCTGCTTAAAACTTGATCTTTCTTTTAGCTTTCAATGAGAGATTTTTGAGCAAGTATTAGAATGGCCAAAAAGTAAACATCAGAATGGAGAAGAAAGAAAAGTATAGTATATAGAAAATAGTACTGTGTAGTTTTCATTTTAAAAAGTTCATTGAGGTTTTCAGAATATGGATTAGGTAGATAACCACTTGATATAAAAATCCCTAAAATGATTCCAGAAGCATCATTCCTATTAACTTGCATATAGTTTTTTGAACACTATTTAACTGTAGGATCTAGTTGATCTAAAAACTTACCTTTAGTGGCACACTTAATATGCATTATGGCAAGTCTATTAACTCTTTTTTTCCAGGAAAAAAATGTTTCAAAATGTATTCTGAATCAATCTAAGTCATGGGGCTATATACAAACCTAAGTTTAAGAATCATACAGATAGATCTGATAAATAAAAACTGTTTGGTTCAATAAAGTTTATGAAATTTATTTTAAGCAAATTCCAAAATTCACATATAGTAAAATTTGCATATAATATCTCTCCATACATATGTGTGTATATGCGTGTCTGTGTGTAAATCGTTCTAAAACTTTCTATGATATTTATCTTTGGAATTTGCTTAAAACAAATTTCATGAATCTTAATGAGCCAATTTCATTAATCACATGTATCTGTATGAGGTTTGTATATAGCTTTGTAAGTTACATTGTTTTAATACACATTTTGAGACTATACATATATATGTAGGCATGTCTCTAAATATATCTACACACATGTATGCAGAGTCAATGTGTAATATGTGATGCCAAACTTCAGTGCATTTGAAAGCTTTTCCCCTGAATTCACATTGTGATATAGATTTTCTTTTTTAAAGTTAATTAATCTTGAATTACTTCAGTAGGCACAGAAAATGTTTATACATGCATACATTTGTCATTATATATTGTGGATCTATGAATATCTGTATATTAAAATAGTGCACCAAATATATTGATTTATTGTTTTAAAATTATTCATAAATGCAAAATCATAAAATTATCCTGAAAATAATACTTTATTTTCTATATGTTATATGTTCTGTTTTGCTAATCAAATATAATTTGATGTGAAGTTTGCAATGGTGATTGCATTAATTTTTGTATTTTTAAAATTATTCATTATTTTTATGGTATTGGGTATGTTCATGAATGATCATATATGGCAAGAAAACTTTTCCAGGTAATGAACATGTTCTTAATACCTAAAATTTAAGCTTAAAAGTAAAGAATAAGTATGGAATGTCACAACTAGGAAAGTTCTATTACATAATTGTTTTTATATTTCGAAGAAAGCTGGAACAAAAAGTTACATTTATTTGAGTATTTAAACTTTTTTACAGAGACAAAGGAAGTATTTAAACTCTGACAAAGACAAAGCAACATTAATATGAGAATTATACATGTACCAGATAAAGAAGGATTAGTTAGGTTTTATCAGTATGCTCTTAATCATAGTCTTTGTGGGTTGCTTATTAATAAATAAGCCACTTTATATTTTTTCAAATAGAATTTGCCAAATTCTAAAGACATTTATTAGAAAATAATATCAGTTCTTTGGATGAAATGCTTTAAATACTTTGTAACTGCACTTATTTCATGTATCTTAGCGGAATGTCTCCTAAGCAGATTAGTATTAGGATACGTATGAGATAGTTTTTAATTTTCAACAGATATGTCTTTTTTTTTTAAGTCAGGCTTTTGTTTATTTTATATGTAAGTTCAACACTAAAATAAAACGAATAGTCCATGAATTTTAGTCACTAAGGTGGGCTGTATGATTTTGAACAAGTTACATAATGTCTTAGTACCCCAGGCAATTGTCCAATACAAGTTGCAGAGCAATTACTGACCTCCCCTGAAATTCCTACACCAATGAAATTATAGGTCTGGACCAAAACAAAAACATTTCATTCTATATTTATTTGTCTATATTTAAAATCTTCAACATCCATGAACTGTGAACCTAGTCAAAGATTGTTTATGTGAAGTCTGCAGTAACAATATTGTAGCATCCTCAGTTGTTTTCAAGTATTTACATTGTGCTTATAATTGCTAATTAAAAACAAACATAAGCTTGGCAATTTCTGGTTATTATTTTGGCATATAGATATGGTTTTGTGAAAACATATAGAAGGAAAATTGAAATAAAATTCAGTATTAAGTAGTCAATTATATTTTGATTTTTTAGTTGAACAGGAAAAAAATTGTTTGAGTCAAAATGTGTAAACATTGTGTAAGTATTCATTCTCTATAGATTTTTCTAACCAAGTAGCTGCATTCATATATAGGATCAAATGACTGTGAACTCCTAGAGGCCTTAGAGATCTGGTCAATTCCTTTTTTTTTTAACATAAGAGGAACCTTGAGTCTCAAGACATGAAATTACTCAAATTTTCATAGCACTTTAAATTTTAAAAATCATTTTCTTTTAAAAATTTTCTTGATGTATTTTGTTTTTACATCACATTCATTTCCACATATAACCCTTCTCCTCTTGCAGAGAACCATCAGTTTTAACAAAGATAAAAAAGAGAACACCACAAAATTGACCAAGTATCAACAAAGCCTGACATTATATGCTATGTTCTATCCCCATACTCCTTTGCCTCTAGAAAGAAGGTAGAGAGGAGCGTTTTCTCTCTTCTGCAGGCTAAAATTGATAATTATAATTACTGTTTTTTCTTCTGTAAAATGGGCATGTAACAGCACCACCTCACAAGGTTATGTTGTTAGGACCAAGTGAGATAATAAGTGTAAAGCAATTTGCAAACCTGACATATATACATATATGTGTATATATATTACTTATTATTTTTTATTTACTAGTTATTATTCCTATTTAGGTGCTAAACTCACAGTTACTAACCAGATTTTTTTGCTGCTGGATTTCATATGCTTAAATTTTTATATACTAGAGATATTGAAGCCTTGGTTCATTAAATTGAGATTTTAGGAGTAAATAGAGTTGAAAAATGATATGCCCAAGTAACTCTAATAACAGAAAAGAGCTATGTAAGAACAAAGAGGTCCTGGTGAAAAATATTATGAGAAATTTCAGGAGATAATTATCACTTTCACCTTTAAGGGGTCAAAGAAGATTTTGTGAAAGAGGGGACCCTTGAGTTCAGACTTAAAGGAAGTGACTACAGCAGTCATGCATGATAGAAGTACGAGATAAGACTGAAAAGGCAGATGGGACCCAGGCTGTAGAAGTCTTTGAATACAGAATCAGATGATTATGCTTTATTTGGAAGACAAAAAAACTGGAGTCTTTTGATGAAGGGATTGATGTGTTCAGAGTAGTACATTAGGATGATTACTTGGCACTGATGTGATAGATGATTTAGAGAGCAGTCAGATGGAAAGAAGAATAGTTAGAATATTTCAGTAACATAGACAAAAAGAAATGATTAAGATAATGGAACTTCTACACTTAACTATATTTTGATCCTTCATATTGAATTTAATCCTCAATTTTTTGTGTGTGGTATTTTGAGTCAATTTTCTTATATTTTCTAAGATTATACTTTGCCTTAGACATAAGACCCAAAAGACATAAAAATGAATTTTTTTTGGTAGCTCAAGGAGAACTAGGAACAGACATGGAAGGTATGTTGAATAGTGTTTATTTCAGAAATCTGAACCCAGGTAAGAATAATTATACCTAACATATCTTTATAAAAGATTCCTACTTACCTATCAGCTTTGCTTTAATGTTTCATGACTTATCTGCTTCTACTGTGATAAGAAACATATCTGAAATTTATAAAAACATGAGGAATGAAAAAATATATTTATCCCATTTTTATATATAAAATTTAATATATTTTAACAAAAATGAATTCAGGTGAGAACTGATTAAAATCTTGCATTTTGGAACTGAAAAAAATTAATACATATGACATGCAGGCACATGTGGAACAAATAAGGGTTCTATAGACTTATACATATTTAATACATAGATGTACTGCTCATATGCTTAGGTTTCTATTGTTCATACGTCTTAATTTTCCATTTTACATATTATTTCTTTTTTGTGAGTAGTGTCACCAAAAAGATGCAGTGTATTATAATGGATAGAGAGCTAACCTTGAAGCAAGGACAATATAGGTTTCAAGTCTGACATCTTATATGTACTATCTGTGTGACTCTGGGCAAGGTACTTATCCTCTGAATCCTCAAGGCTGGAAAATCTAGGAAAATTGATTGCAGAAAAGGTATCAGCCTATGTTGGTATAGGAGATTTCCTCACCAGAGTTTCTAATACCTGTGAAATCAGTCCAAATAATATATCCATGCAGTTATTTGTATTTTCTTATATGAGTGTTAATTAAAAACTGGTAACTCGCAAGTTCCAATACAGACTGACTTCGTTAC